TACGGTTTAGACTGCTACTTGGTGCACGCATGACATTGCTGCGGCTGCGAGTCCCCACGCGGACGACGACGCGGATGTCGTCCGAGGGTAATACGTTGGTCGTGCCAGCTCTTTTATCGCGCAGAACGACGAGTGCATCTTGCTCGTCCGTCTTTAATACATACTGGCGCATTAGCTCATCACAAGACGCCCTAGCAAAATTGTGTCTGTGGTAAAATAGACCTGGGGGCCTCGAGTGGATATGCTTCACTCGGTGGCTGCAGGTGGCCACTCGACTTGACCTGTCGAGAGTTGGCTTAGAGCCGAATTCTACAGGGGCTCTTGTCGCCCCTGGCCTTTTTCCTCTTGTTTCAGGGGTATGAACCACCTGACCTTACGTTGCTTCCGGACCTTGAGGTGAGGGAGACCGCTTCCGATAGCGGGTCTTGGGGGGTGTTCCTACTTCCTCGAACGAGCTCACAGGCTAAACATATCTCGGAGATCTATTCGCACTTGAACTTCGCTACACAACTGCTCTTCAACGGGAGGCCAAAATATATCCTTTCCCCGGAACAGTGAGAAAACCAGGGCAAGTTCTTCTTGGATCATGGAGTCGTGCCACGTAGATCGCAAATTGAGTAGTTTCAACATAGTCTTATCCTTTTAACTCCTTTACTACTTATCCTTTTCTGAAGCTCTGATTCCTTACCGTCGATTGTTCCTGATCCCTTTTATTAACTGGTCCGGAGTGGCTGAACCCCGAGGGGCCGAGGTCGATCGCCGGGACCCAGGTCTACCAACGAGGGACCGAGTCGACCAATGGGGGACCAGGTCGACCAATGAGGGACCATGGTCTACCAGCGAGGGACCGGGTCGACCAGTGAGGGACCAAGGTCGACCAACGAGGGACCGGGTCGACCAATGAGGGACCCAGGTCGACCTATGAGGGACCCGGGTCTACCAACGAGGGGCCAGGTCGACCGATGAGGGGCCTGTTCGACCAATGATGGACCGGGTCGACCAATGAGGGCCATGGTCGACTCCCTTCGGTACCGGTTAAACAGTTCATGGTAATGACCTCTCCTTTGTTGTATTTCACATTCTCAGCCAACGGTCGCTTCACTTCGAGGTTCTCTTTATCTCCGGTACCTTCTCTCTGGTGCGTGGTCCCTTCTGTCTAGTCCACGCCCCTAGTCCCTTCAATTCTACTGATCCCTGGGCTCTTCACAATTTAGAAATCACTTCACCACAACTTCAACTTCCAGATTTAAGTGTCGAAGGTGTGCCTCCGTAGTTCTAAGCTTTTGTTCAGCGCGGCTGTGAACAAAAATGTCATCAAAGTAGCTCGGTGCAAAATCGCGAAGTGTGCGAAGTACTTGTGTCACCTTCCGATTGAACGTATCTGGAGCTATCTTTAGACCTTGTGGCATGACTAACCACTCCCATGGCATCCCGCTTGGAAAACTGACCCCAGTGAACGGAATGTCAATGTCCTTTATGAGGATCTGATAGAAGCCGTCTGTCAGATCTATGGCGCTGTAGAACTTGTGGTGGAGCGGGTTCTCAAAATTGTATGATGAGACCCCAAACCACTCACTGTGCCGGACTGCCGACTGTCGGAGGGGGTACCCCGATGCCGCTTATGAACCTTCTCTCACCTTGTGTACCCGTCGGCTGGCGGGTTGCACTCTTCGGAGGACTTGGTGAAGATGTAGACGTCTGCCTTGAGGGAGGTAGACCTGGGGGGCCTCGAGTGGATATGCTTCACTCGGTGGTCCGGTAGGTGGCCACTCGATCGACCTTGTCGAGAGTTGGCTTAGAGCCGAATTCTACAGGGGCGCTTGTCGTCCCTGGCCTTTTCCTTCTTGTTTCAGGGGTATTAACCACCTGACCTTTACGTTGCTTCCGGACCTTGATGTGAGGGAGACCGCTTCCGATAGCGGGTCTTGAGGGTGTTGCTACTCGAACGAGCTCACAGGCCAAATATATCCTGGAGTTCTATTCGCACTTGGACTTGCTACACAACTGTCTTTGACGGGGGGGCCAAAATATATCCCTTCCCGGAACAGTGAGTAGCTTAAAGCAAATTCTTCTTGGGTGACGGAGTCGTGCCACGTGGGGTTCCGCTCGCACTTGAGTCTAACCACACGTCTGTATTCCAAGGGGGGGGGCCAAATATATCCCTTCCCCGAACAGGCGTGTGGCTAGACTCGAGTTCCTTTACAGCGCGACGAAGACTTGCCAAGTAGATCGCAAATTGAGTAGTATTCAATATAGTCTTATCCTTTTAACTCCTTTACTCTATCCTTGCCTGAAGCTCTGATTCCTTGCGTCGACTGTTCTGATCCTTTTATTAACTGGTCCGGAGTGGCTGAACCCCGAGGGGCCGAGGTCGATCGCCGGGACCCAGGTCTACCAACGAGGGACCGAGTCGACCAATGGGGGTGAGGGACCATGGTCTACCAGCGAGGGACCGGGTCGACCAGTGAGGGACCAAGGTCGACCAACGAGGGACCGGGTCGACCAATGAGGGACCCAGGTCGACCTATGAGGGACCCGGGTCTACCAACGAGGGGCCAGGTCGACCGATGAGGGGCCTGTTCGACCAATGATGGACCGGGTCGACCAATGAGGGCCATGGTCGACTCCCTTCGGTACCGGTTAAACAGTTCATGGTAATGACCTCTCCTTTGTTGTATTTCACATTCTCAGCCAACGGTCGCTTCACTTCGAGGTTCCCTTTATCTCCGGTACCTTCTCTCTGGTGCGTGGTCCCTTCTGTCTAGTCCACGCCCCTAGTCCCTTCAATTCTACTGATCCCTGGGCTCTTCACAATTTAGGAAATCACTTCACCACAACTTCAACTTCCAGATTTAAGTGTCGAAGGTGTGCCTCCGTAGTTCTAAGCTTTTGTTCAGCGCGGCTGTGAACAAAAATGTCATCAAAGTAGCTCGGTGCAAAATCGCGAAGTGTGCGAAGTACTTGTGTCACCTTCCGATTGAACGTATCTGGAGCTATCTTTAGACCTTGTGGCATGACTAACCACTCCCATGGCATCCCGCTTGGAAAACTGACCCCAGTGAACGGAATGTCAATGTCCTTTATGAGGATCTGATAGAAGCCGTCTGTCAGATCTATGGCGCTGTAGAACTTGTGGTGGAGCGGGTTCTCAAAATTGTATGATGAGACCCCAAACCACTCACTGTGCCGGACTGCCGACTGTCGAAGGGGGTACCCCGATCCCGCGTATGAACCTTCTCTCACCTTGTGAACCCGTCGGCTGGCGGGTTACACTCTTCGGAAGTGTTGGTGAGGATGTAGACGTCTGCCTTGAGGGAGGTAGACCTGGGGGGCCTCAAGTGGATATGCTTCACTCGGTGGGCCGGTAGGTGGCCACTCGATCGACCTTGTCGAGAGTGGACTTAAAGCCAAATTCTTCAGTGAGCTTGTCGTCCCTGGCCTTTTCCTTCTTGTTTCAGGGGTATTAACCACCTGACCTTTACTTTGCTCCCGGACCGTGAGGTGTGGTGAAGTGCTAATTTGGTGATGTTAAGGTCCCAGGATCCAGTTGGATTCGGAGTATAGACCGTGGGTAAGGGACAGGGGACCAGAGATACAGGGGCCTCTAAGGGGAGCGACCGTTGGTGGAGAACAATCCGCAGGACCTACCGAAGAAAAATCAGTATCAGGGTACCGGTTAACCGGTACCAAAGGGAGTTGATCATGGCCCTTCATTGATCGACCTGGCCCCTCGTTGGTAGACCCGGGTCCCTCATAGGTCGACCTGGGTCCCTCATTGGTCGACCCGGTCCCTCATCGGTCGACCCGGTCCCTCATCAGTAGACCCGGTCCCTCGTTGGTCGACCTGGGTCCATCATTGGTCGACCCGGTCCCTCATTGGTCGACTCGGTCCCTCGTTGGTAGAACTGGGTCCCTCATTGGTCGACCTCGGCCCCTCGGGGTTCAGCCACTCCGGACCAGTTAATACAAGGATCAGAACAGTCGACGCAAGGAATCAGAGCTTCAGGCAAGGATAGAGTAAAGGAGTTAAAAGGATAAGACTATATTGAATACTACTCAATTTGCGATCTACTTGGCAAGTCTTCGTCGCGCTGTAAAGGAACTCGAGTCTAGCCACACGCCTGTTCGGGGAAGGGATATATTTGCCCCCCCCCTTGAATACAGACGTGTGGTTAGACTCAAGTGCGAGCGGAACCCCACGTGGCACGACTCCGTCACCCAAGAAGAATTTGCTTTAAGCTACTCACTGTTCCGGAAAGGGATATATTTTGGCCCCCCGTCAAAGACAGTTGTGTAGCGAAGTTTAAGTGCGAATAGAACTCCAGGATATATTTGGCCTGTGAGCTCGTTCGAGTAGCAACACCCTCAAGACCCGCTATCGGAAGCGGTCTCCCTCACCTCAAGGTCCGGGAGCAACGTAAAGGTCAGGTGGTTAATACCCCTGAAACAAGAAGGAAAAGGCCAGGGACGACAAGCTCACTGAAGAATTTGGCTTTAAGTCCACTCTCGACAAGGTCGATCGAGTGGCCACCTACCGGCCCACCGAGTGAAGCATATCCACTCGAGCCCCCAGGTCTACCTCCCTCAAGGCAGGACGTCTACATCTTCACCAAGTCTTCCGAAGAGTGCAACCCGCCAGCCGACGGGTACACAAGGTGAGAAGAAGGTTCATAAGCGGCATCGGGGTACCCCCTCAGACAGTCGGCATTCCGGCACAGTGAGTGGTTTGGGGTCTCATCATACAATTTGAGAACACATACCTCGGATCGCGGTTGACGAATCGCGGTCGACGGATCGCGATTGACGGATCGCAGTCGACGGATCGAGATTGATCAACAAGGTGTGGACCACATTTAATATTGGGCGATCCACACTTTGCAAAATATTGCTCATTCGTTTCTCCAAAACTTTTTAATATATAACTGAATAGGTAGTTTGTCACTTTTCCGCGTGCGCATCCATTACATACACCGTCATTAGATGCAACAACTCTCGAAATATTATCGCAAGACTTTATCACTTGCATAATCTTGTTCGAAGACAAATGACCGAGGCGAGCGTGCCATAGTGTCATTTATCGCACCAATGCTCTCAGCCTTGTGTGCCTCTAATGTGATATGTTGTTTCACATTCCACGCAAACAGCTTACCGGCTCGATTAATTACTGCTACATTCACGTTGTCACTTATCAAAACTGCTTGATCGCGCATAAACTGAACAAGCACGCCTCGGGCCGTCAACGCTGCTACAAACACAAGTTTCTTGTCTAGCCCAGGCACATGTAACACCTCTGTAAGCTTGAATGTGTGATCATACTCGAGCATAAAATGTACTGTGCCTGTTCCTTGTGCCTTCAACTGATACCCATTCGCCACAGTGATGTATTTGGGGTACTTAAATATTCGTATTCCACAAATTTACGCTTCTCACCAGTCATATGACGACTTACCCCGTTATCCAGCAACCAAATCGAGCTAGAAATTGGTCTGTCACTGATTGCCGACAAAAACAAAATTATTATTAGATCTCGATGGTTTTACGTTACGACACTGCGATCTTTTGTGTCAGTGTCGTCCACTTCCAAAGCACTTGCCTTGAGCACTCACATTATTCTTTCCTCTTTTAGACGATTGATAGCGATCTCGATTTTTTTTGTCCGAGGTGTCCTAGGTTACCTCGAAAGCGTCAAGGTCCAATACGCTGAGCATGTGCATTGAAAGGGGATTCCATTTTGGCTCGCTTCTGAAGAGTGTCACACCCCTGGCGGAGCATCTCTTTCGCGCCCAACAGCGTCACGTTGCTGTGCGCCTCGATGATGCGCACCATATCATCATATTCGAATGATAAACTTCCCAAAAGTAAACCATATGTTCTTCATCCGTGATTTCAATGGCAGCCCTGACCTTTAGACACAGCTCAACAAATTATAGTGGATGGTCCATAAGACTCGCAACAGTCTCCATCACAAATTAATGTATTTCTTTCCGAACTTCTACTCCTTTATAGAGATTTTTCTTTGCAACGAACGTCTTTAGAAACTCCAAAGTATGAAAAGCAGACTCACTATCTCGGACCATGCACTGATTGGTTGGAGAGAGTAGCTTTACCAGTAAGACAGAGCCTTCATATCGGCGACTATCCATCCGAGATTTTCCCGCAGCACTCCCGGCTCTGGTTTAATCAAAACGTGATCCAAAGATCCTTTCGCGCGAGTGTCATGCGTGCATTTTAATTCCCACATGAAGTAATTGTCATTCGTCAGAACGTCATTTTAGGAGCCATTGTATTTGGGCTCATAACTTGTAACGAAAGCTCATATACTTTTTATTTGCTGCCAAATGAAAAGTAGTAGTAGTTTAAGATACTAAAACGAATGTATAAATCCCCTAATAAACTGATCGCTTAATCCAGATCATTCGAAGACGAATGTCCATGCAAGTTGCTCTTTACACGACACACACACATCACTGTCGTAATTCGTGATCCTCTACTAATTGCTGTTTAATTCCAAGCAGATATCTATATCTGATCGTGTTGTAAAAGAAGGGGATTGTTTGCATATTGTTAAGATACGATACTAGTGATAAAATACTGGATATATTTAGCCATAATCAACTACCCCATATGATTGGCATCTAATCCATCCCCGGATGAAATCTCACAAGCTCCCCTACTCTTCATTTTGCTCCCACACCTCCAAGTCACTTTAAGTTTCGAAGATGCCTATCAAGCCTAAGAAAACTTTGCTTACCAAGGCGCTGTTGGTCATCATACTCGTCGTTCGTTCTACCATGGGGTTGGCGACGGCAGATCTGCCACCAGAGGATGCCCTTCGCACCTCTCAGGCATCGGATACATTGGATATGGATCTGACACCTCCTGCCTCGAAACAGAAGAGGTACTTGAGGTCGGCCGCGGATGTGACGACAACCAGCACTGGTGAGTTGAGAAGACTAGTTCCTGATCTCTCGGGACTTAAGGAACTCGGAAGCTCTTTCGGAAAACAGGCGGTAGGTTTCCCTGCCAGACTGCGTCAAAGTGCTTCAGCAATCTACTCCAAGAGCATGACAAGAATTCGAGCGCAATGGTGGCTGTGGGTAAACAAACAAAAAGAACCTAAGGAGGCCTTCACATTTCTGCAGCTCGGCAAATCGGGGAAAAATCCATTTGAAAACCCAAAGTTTCCCGTATGGAAATATATCGTCGAGAAAATTACGTCCAAGGAAGATGCGCCCAGAGTCATGTTCGAATCTATGGTTCACGCATTGGGAGATGAAGGTACACTGGACAGATTCCTAGCTCAAGCAATAAGTTCAATTAAGTTCGGGGACGTGGTTGAGAGTGTTTACAACTATCGACTCAAGCAGTGGCTCCAATCTGATTATAATTACACGCCGAAAAGAGTTTACAATCTTCTGGAACTCAACAAATATGACAAGATCGGAGAAGTACCCGGCCGTCCAGAATTTAGCATGTGGGCTGCGTATAATTCCAAAAAGAAATCGACGAAGGAGGCTTTTAAGCTTCATAAAGAATCAAAAAGAAGCACTATTCATCCTGATCTAATGAGGGCTCTAGCTAAAATCGGTGAAGCCGATGGCAACTATGAATTCGCTCAAGATCTGTTATACTTTCAGATCCAGTACTTGATAGAACATCCTTATTATCGAAAATCATCCTTCAAACTTTTTAAGCTTCAAGGGGAGGGAACATTAAATCCAACTGATCTGACTACGGATCCGCTTGGAAGGCTTTGGGTTGACTACGTGTACATGAGAGCACAGGACGAAGATGGTTTTACTGGCTTGGGTGAAGTTTTTAAAAAACTTGAGTTGAGGGTTGGCCATAAAGCAGCCGTAGCTGTGATGAAAATGGTGCACAAGGACGGTTATTTCCTGAAATCGCTGGAGAAGGAGAAGCCTATCAAGGAAAAAGAAAATTTTGATTCGTTTCTGATGGACCTTCAAGAAAAGATGGCAAATGATCCCAAGTAAATATGTGGAGGACGAAGACGAGATGGTGGAGGGAATCATGCTACAGTATCGGAGGCCTGCTATTACCTCTACTATGACGTAGGGGACAGATAGTGGTGGTAGGTGGTTTTTTTTTGTTGATAAGAAGAAATTACACTTTTCATATACTTTCCTTACTTGTTCTGTGTGTAAATATGGAAGTCGTATCTGCAACTGATCACCAGCAGCTCAACATCAAACTTTAAACGTCGGAAGACTAAATGACACGCGTGTATCTCGATGATAATGCTACGACGCCTGTGGAGCCCGCCGTAATGCAGGCATTACTGCCATATTTTGGTCCACAATTTGGCAATGCGTCTTCAACTTATGCACTTGGCCAAACCGCTAAGAAAGCGGTGGAGATGGCACGTACCCAAGTGGCATCAATGTTGGGCGCCTCTGACTCGAATGAAATTGTCTTTCTTTCAGGTGGTACCGAGTCAATTAATTATGCAATCAAAGGGTCAGCACTTGCAGCAAAACGTACGAGTGGACGTAACCACATTGTCACGTCTAGCGTCGAGCATGTGGCGGTGCTGGAGACGTGTAAATGGTTGGAGACACAGGGATTCCAAGTCACATACCTGCCTGTAAATAACTTTGGCTGTGTCCGGGTACAAGATGTACTGGATGCACTTACCGTACAGACGTGTGTGGTGTCCATTATGCTTGCTAACAATGAAGTTGGATCGTTGCAGCCAGTTGCAGCAATTTCTCGAGCAGTGCGACAATTCGTCGTGGACGAGGAGAATCGGCTACCTATTGTCGTGCATACAGACGCCAGTCAAGCGATTGGTAAAGTACGTGTGAATGTCGTGGCGCTTGACGTGGATTTGGTGACAATGGCGGGCCACAAATTCTATGCGCCAAAGGGTGTCGGCGCTCTCTACGTCCGTAAAAGCATGGTACTGGACACGATAATTCACGGAGCATCGCAGGAAAACGGACGTCGTGGTGGTACAGAGAATGTGGGACTAGTGGCGGCACTGGGCCAGGCTTGTGCGCTTGTAGAGAAGAACTTGCACGAGTACGCTGTCATCATGCAAGAGAGCAGGGCGTTCCTCCTCGAGCAGATCCAGAAGCACTGCAGTCTTACGAATGTTAGCTACCAGGTAAACGGCCACCCAGAACTTTCTCTGCCTAACACGCTCAGCATTAGCTTTGAAAACATTGACGCATCGCGTCTCCTCGACTGTGAGTCTTGTATACTTGACTCTGGTGGTTATAGGATGCTGATCTTGGTGTTGCCTGTGTAATGAACAGTGATAGAGGCCGACGGCGTCTATGCAAGTGCAGGATCAGCGTGTCATAGCCACAAGCAAGACAGGACTACCGAACAGGAAAAGAACCTAGACCGCGACGGGAAACACATTACTACCATTTCGCACGTGCTAGCTGCCATGCACGTGGCTCCTGAGTTTGCCAAAGGCACACTGCGCTTGTCTGTGGGTCGCTCTACCACGCAGGAAGAGGTACTACACGCTGCTAACGCGATTCACAAGGCCATCCAGCAACTGCTGTAGCTTAGCCAAAGTGTCCACAGGCACAGAACTATAACGTCTTCTTATAACGTCCCATGTTTAGTACATCGTGGCTGTTGCCTTCGTTACTGACATGTGAAGAACTTACAAAATCCAAGCAGAAGACGCAAAATACACACGTTATACTTGCTGGTCCGCTGTCATGGCGCTAGAAATGTTGCCTGGCAGATATTCTGCCGACTTGCTCATTCTTTATTCATCTCTTCAATAGCGCTTCGAAATCCAAGCCAAGAGCCATTTAAGATGCGTGAGCATGTACTTGAGCGCTCGAGTCCACTGCTCATCGTTACCAAGAGAAATAGGCAGACCACCGATTATGCCGCGCTCCACCTTGTACGGGAACTTGAGCAATGGCTCTTCTTTCATGGCACGACGACCTGCGTCCTCCACGCACTCGAGAAATAGAATCATAGCTTGATTGAAGCCTCGACGTCGGAACATGCCACCGTCGCTGTACAGACTGTACTCTTTTCCGTACATATTGACTACACGGGAGAAGCTCCCCCGAGGCACGAGACGATTACGTGAAAATTCAAACCCGGCACGGTCAGCGATAGTTGCCAGCAACAACACTGCCTGGCCCATTGCCGCGTTAATTTCGACCCACTCCACCGGTTTAGACGGTAACCTGCCAAGTCTCAGTCCATTAATGGTACCGAACAGACCGTCGTGCCAGATGTGGAAGACATCGTTGCACACGTTGTAGCGCTGGAGACGGCGCAGCATATCTGATGCATGCACTGCAAATACACCCACCGATTGACGCTCGTCGCGACTCAGACCCAATAAATGCTGCAAGAACGCTCCTTCAGCAAACGTGCCATGAACCAAACGCTCGAGATCTATTCCAGTTGACCAAAGCTCACGCCTCTTAGCTGTCACTTGTACAGTTTCATCCTCGATGGCCTCTAACTCAGCCTTTAGTTGCCGCTCTTCCTCCTCCAAAGCGCAAAGCTCTGGGTCAAGGTGCCACTCATCGGCATTGTAATCTCCGTCGTCGCTCAATGTTCGTGCTGATGCCCGCTCTTCGTCTGCAAATTGAGCCATAAAATCCTCGTATTGAGCTCGGTCCTCCTCCAGTTCGTTCAATACTCTGCAGTAGTCATCAGCAGAAAAATGTATAATGATAAGCTCTTCTCAAAGGTGGCACAAAAAGCAGGTGCTCACTTACTGAGTAAATCGGGACAGCACCTTCGTTTCACAGTCATGACAAGTAGGCAACCTCTTTTTGTGTAGAACCGTGCTGTAGACAACAACCATGCCACATTATGATGTATTCTTAGGGAAAAACATAATTGTATTCGCCGTACCTGCAGTCCAGTAGTTCCTGGAACCAGCTGAGATCACTGCCATCAATGCGGCGCTTTCGCATCAGACATCTTCGACGAACAACACGCTCTTGCGACATTGCATCAGCCTTTTCAGTCTTTTTGGCAGTTCCACTTAGCTCGCCACCTTTCACTGCCTCCTCTCGATGCACATGAGGCTCCTCCAGCTTGACAAAATCTACGTGCAAGGATGCATATACCCACCCATCTTCATCGTAGTGCGGGCTGGAGTAATCCACCTCCCAGTCCGATATCCACAAGTGCGGCTTGTTCAGTAGTCGCGCCGGCACCACATCTGCAATGTTTTGTCCGATATCTCCACGATTGCAGCTCGTGTAAGCTGCAATTCTATTGACGAGGTCGAATTCAGCAGGCACCCAAACATCAACATCACTGCTGTAGTCCAGACGTTGTCGTTCCCACACAATCTCGGGGACGATAGCCGACGTTTTTTGCTACTGTTGCTGTGTGACTTAGTGAAGACCTGGCTGCTATATGTGATACTTCTTCCTCTTCATCTGCATCTATAGCCTCTCCAGCGTCCGTTCTTTCTGTAAGTCTTGGCATCTGGTCTTCCTCGTCTTCTACCTTGCTGTCTCGTTGCTCGGACACCTCCGACGGGTGCTCGTAGGCCACCGGTCGAAGCTTCATGATCTTCTCCTCAATAGACACTGGACTATGTTGGAATTTGAGTAGTGCACCACATTGGTGGCAAGTGAACAAGCTCTTCCCTTCCATAGCGACGCGTCTGGCGTTACGCGCAGGACTTTTGGCGTATGGCGAGAAGGACGCACCGACAGATGAAGGTGCTGGAGATGAAGAAAAAGCAGTCAATGTAGATCCACCATGAGCACCAATTGTGGCTGGAGGTCGTGATAATGCCGTAATTATCTTAGGCGGATGCAACGAGTCATTGCTGCTCATTGAAATGTTGATTTATTAGGCTGTAGACGTCAGATGAGCCTGGCAAAAGTGTCAAAATGATGACAATTAATTACCAATGAACAAGAGATTATAATAGTGACGTAGTACACGTCGTAGATAGAGAGAGATGGAGCTAAGCGACAAGACGACGTAGACACTGAAGAGGAAGATGGAGTAACGCCACCGTAATCGAGTGATTCTTATGAGTGATTCTGATTGGGTAAAATCAATTGATTATAGTATTGGACACTGGTGTGGACAACTTAATTTGTCCACCATCTGATTGAAGTACAAGACAAAATTACATTACAGCGCATGAGTTACCGACTTGTCCTTTCTCTTGCATGACCAGTTCGTCTTTGTCCTCTTCAACAAGTAATGGTACTATAACTTTCTGCTTAGGAATCGAGGTAGCGACTGTAGCTTTTGACGCCAATGGAGCAGCGGAAGAGAAGAAACTGTGGTGGAGTGGGATTCGCAAAATTGCTGATGCGATTCCAACTCTCCACTGGCGCCCGGACGACCGACTAACGGAGGGGATACCACGATTCCGTGTGTATAGCCTTCCTCACCTTGTGTACCCGTCGGTAGGTCGGGTTGCTCTCTTTTCGGTGGACTTGAGTCGATGTTGATCCTAATTGGGTTAGGGATAGGAGGTTTGGTTATCTTGTGGAAATCTTCACAAGATAAACCGAGTACTTGGTGTGATCTTCCCAATCGATCACGGTTATCCAATAAAACGAAGCTTGAATCTTCTGACCACTTGAGCAGAACCTTCTGACCACTTGATCCGTCCTGCACTTGCTTCGCCTTGTCCTACGTGTTTTATCTGCGTCCGATCGCAGTTGAGTTGTGTTGAGAGTTCTTGCAATCCCTGGCCAAACAATCCAGGGATATGACTTGCGTAGTGTGTAGGCTTCCTCGAGACGTCGGGTGGCCAAAGAATCCAGCCCGGAAGAGAAGTCGACACGTGTATTAGAAGTAAAATTGAACTCTGTTTAGTGTTAACCAATCAAAACTCGAAACCTACAATTCTGCCTATCTGTAGTCCAGGATCTATCACCACGTATCACCCTTTCAGGAAAAATCAGATCTCGATATGTGGTCCACCCCAAATGCCTTTGCCATCCCGATCCATCGGCGATCTTGCCTTATCCTTGGATCGCGATCTGAACCAGATCGCGTATCAGCTCAGGATCGTGGTCGATCCATAATGCGTAATCCTTGTGAGTTGGATCGCGATCTAGGTCGGATCGCGGACCTACGTTGGATCGCGATTCTGAGTCGGATCGCGCTATACCTTGGATCGCGGTTCTGAGTCGGATCGCGCTTCTGAGTCGGATCGCGGTCTACCTTGGATCGCAGTCTACCTTGGATCGCGTTCAGCCTTGGATCGCGGTTCTGAGTCGGATCGCGCTTCTGAGTCGGATCGCGGTCTACCTTGGATCGCAGTCTACCTTGGATCGCGTTCAGCCTTGGATCGCGGTCCTGATTCGGATCGCGATTTTGATCGGATCGCAGTCTACCTTGGATCGCGTTTAGCCTTGGATCGCGGTCCTGATTCGGATCGCGATTTTGATCGGATCGCAGTCTACCTTGGATCGCGTTTAGCCTTGGATCGCGGTCCTGATTCGGATCGCGATTTTGATCGGATTGCGGTCTACCTTGGATCGCCTTTTACCTTGGATCGCGGTTCTGTGTCGGATCGCGGTCTACCTTGGATCGCGGTCTACCTTGGATCGCGATTCTGAGTCGGATCGCGCTCAGCTTTGAATCGCGCTTCTGAGTCGGATCGCGGTCTACCTTGGATCGCGGTCTACCTTGGATCGCGATTCTGAGTCGGATCGCGCTCAGCTTTGGATCGCGCTTCTGAGTCGGATCGCGGTCTGCCTTGGATCGCGGTCTACCTTGGATCGCGTTCAGCCTTGGATCGCGGTTCTGATTCGGATCGCGGTTCTGAGTCGGATCGCGATTCTGAGTCGGATCGCGCTCAGCTTTGGGTCGCGGTTCTGAGTCGGATCGCGATTCTAAGTCGGATCACGCTCAGCTTTGGATCGCGTTCAGCCTTGGATCGCGGTTCTGAGTCGGATCGCGTTTTCCAAGTTGGATCGCGTTTTCTGCACAATGTTTCGGGATCGATCCTTGATGTGTGATCCACATAACTTGGATCGCGATCTACAATTTATGAAAATTGTTTACTCGCTCCTCCACAGTGAAATAACAGAATCACGGATCGCGGATCCACCTGAATACTAAGATTGCAGTGCGATCCAGACTTGGATCGCGGTGCTATCCAAACTCCATAGCGACACGATATGTATCTCGGATCATGATTTGTCCATTACAATTTATTGAGGCCGCGATCCACACTTTGAGAAATTCCACTATTCCACATTCAAGTAAAGTCCGTACAAATTTAATACATCCAGTTGGATCAACCGATACTGGAACCAAGTATATCCAAGCGGTGATCTATTCCATGATAATCCAATATAACATGGAAATATGATCCATGCTACGATCAACGGTACTTCCATTCGATCATCCATGAATTACGATCGACTCCACCACACCCAATAAGTCATTTTAGTAAGTGACTTAGAGGTGGACAGGGGTCCAACCGTTATGGGAAAAAGGTCCAACCGTTATGGGAAAGGGATCCGACCGTTATGGGAAAGGGGTCCAACCGTAAGCGGGACAGGGATCCAACCGTTATGAGAAAGGGATCCAACCGTTGTGGGAAAGGGGTCCAACTGTTATAGGAAAGGAATCCAGCCATTATGGGAAAGGGATCCAACCGTTGGCGAGAAAGGTCCCGATAAGCGATGGGCGGTGCTCACCTCCAAGCGTGGACGCACCTTTTATCACAATACAGAGACGGGAGAAGATCGATGGGATAAACCCGTAGACCTGGAGGCTGATGTGGCCGAAGATGCTTTCGGTGTGTACAATAAAAAGCTATACGTTGGGTGTGTGTATTGATGATTAACTAGTAGATCTCTTATTGTTATGCTGTAGTTCCGTTTAAGAACGACGCAGTGAAGAAGGCAGTATTGCGTGAACAAATGAAGTTGGAGGCTACGAAGATGGGCGTGCCGGTGGAAGTGGTGGCTGCTACGCAACATCGATTACAGCATGAGGACAAGGCTGGTGACCCCTTTGCAAACATGATGGTACGTGAGGATAAAACCGGGAAGAAGAGCACTCCTATTCGAGCTGATAATCCCGACCAACGGCGTAACTTCGGACCTGCTCAGTTATACATAACTGAGTAGCGTGGACCCTAGACGTCCACGAAACGATATCTCTAATAATCAGAACTGGGAACACCAAGCGACAATCCGAAGAGAGCATGCGCCGCAGGTCATGGATGGGGACTTGAAACCGTGGCGCTTGTATGGTCTTGAAGGTGCTGTCGAAACCGATCCACTGGAGGTCATGAAGGACCTTTTCACGCGATACCGTACAGTGAGAGGCAAGGCGACGAACAACGCATATACCGACGATGCGTTGCAGAGATCTTGCTGCCTGTATCAGGCGCTGGAATGCGAGCCGACGTGAAGGAACGTCCTTCACGTCCTGGTATGACGGTCGCGAGGGAACGCGTGATAGACACGCTATTGGCGACCTGCGCCGGCGCATCTGTCGTATGACTTGTGACGAGTATCATCTTTGTTACGTCCACATTCATGAGGGATGTTAAACGTGCAACATGGGCAGATCGCGACCGGTCCGGCAGGAATGGGACGACCTGGTGTGTACGCGGGGCATGCCCGATCATATTCCTCCATGAATCGCCCGTTGTGCGAGCAGCCTTCGGAGCTCCAGGTGTCCGAGCTACGGCTAGTGAAAGCGCATCCTTAAGATCGCTTTGGGCATTCACGTAGCCGAGGTCGTCAACCGTATAATCTGTATGCTCCCGAGCCTCGTAATAGGTGTCGGTCTCGGAGTCGCTCGGGAGGTCGTCGTGGTTTCGTTGCTCGGGAGCATTACGGCTCGCTAGATCGGAGATGGAAACGGCAGCGTCGATCGCGATCACCGTCTTTCTACGGAGCTCATAGTCCTCGACCACGTCCGAGACATCCTTGGTCAGCGTACTCGATGGCTCCCATGTATCGTCCGCCGAGGAATATCCCAACCAGCGAACCCTGTAATGTTTCTCGACACGCTTTTTCATGAGCGCCGAGTCATTAATCGGCGCCTGGAGCTTGTGTTTCTCGTGATCAACAATACGGTCGACATTCCAGCGTCGCGCACCCGATGCATCGTTTAAGGGCGGAGGAGTATCACGATGGAAGACCTCTGGCGATGAGCACCAATTCTTGCAATTTAACGCCTGACCGTCGAATAAAGAGGTGCGCCTACTTTTCCCTGAAGCCAAGGAGTCGAAGAATGCCCTACTTGATGCTCGCGAGATGGCTGAGAGAGCTCAAGATCGTGCAGTTGCTGCAACTAAGGCTGCTAGGCGGACTCGACGTGAGCAGCAGATGTGGTAAAGTGCCCAGGGAAATTAGAGCTAGAAGGAAATGGGAACAGAACGCAAAGAGCAAAGAAATTTCTGGTTACTCCCATTAGGGAGTGACCACAACACGGCCTAGCAGATCTACAACCTCACAGTAGGCCCCAGCCTTATAAAGAATATAAGGACCCAGACGTGCAGAGCCAGCACAGGCCCCAGGGTCCAGGGTATAGGTACCAGGGTTCCAGGGTACCAGGATACCAGGGCCCAGGGTACAGGGTACAAGGCTCAGGATCCAGGGTACAGAGCCCTGGGCCCAGGGTACCAGGGCCCAATGCCCGAGGATGCAGAAACGGTAAATTGAACCCCGAAGCTTACAGAAAGTACAGATACTAAGGAGCCAGTTCTTCCTTCAAAAGTCGACACGTGGCGCTATCCAGAGCAAAGGGTTAGGGTTAATAAAGAAAAATTATACAAAGTATAAGATAAGTAAACACACTCGTATTTGCTTTACACGTGGCAGCTGTAAGCGCCTCCTCTTAGCTTCTACGTCGCTCCATCTCTTCCGGGCGGGATACCCTTTGGCCCTCCGACGCCAGCAGGTGTTAGACGGCCCAAGCTACGCAAGTTGAACCTCAGGATAGTTGTCCTGAGGTGTCAAAACACCCAACACCCGCTACATGAAGCGGTTTCCCTACGGGAAACAAGAAAAAGGGGTCCAAGGACCAAGAAACAGTTATACACCGAAAGGGGTACGTAGTAATAGGTGCATTGCTCTCAACACAGTCGATTGAGCCCAAGAAACCCTGGACCCGAGTGAGGTATATTCACTCGTGGGCCCCCAAGTCCCACATACAAGGACCAAGTCAATAAGTCTCTTGCGTCTAACGAGGAGCAAGACCAGCCAAGCCGACGGGTACACAAGGTGAGACCCAAGGTTGACGCGACACGGTATCGGGGTACACCCTCCGTAAGTCGACAGTCCGGCGGAGTGTGTATTTGTGGTACTCTTGTGGTGAAGTCAATCATGAAAATTTGATCGACAATATCGAAAGTGATTATAATGTGGACCACTTACACGGCGGGAGTCATATCCTATGGATTATACTTGGCTATTGTATGGGAGAGATCAAGATCTATCGATGAATGATCGCATAGTTTATACTTGGCTATTGTATTGAATGATAGCTTCTCTGGGTCAATCATGTGAATGGCCACGGTTGGCCGAGGAGTACGCGGCGGTAATGACGATCAGGGTGGGAGATCGCTCGATCGCAATCGTCGATTGTGATCAGCAAGGGTGATCGTCGATCGTGATTAACAAGTGTGATCGACGATCGTGATCAACAAGTATGATCGACGATCGTAACCTCGCTCCAGAATGCCGATCGCGAGATGTAACTGGTTACAGATCGATCATAACCTCGATCGACGGATCAAGATCGCGATGGATTGACGATCGTGATCGACAAGTGTGATCGACGATCGTGATCGACAAGTGTGATCGACGATCGTAACCTCGATCTAGAAAGCCGATCGCGAGATGTAACTGGTTACAGATCGATCGTAACCTCGATCGACGGATCAAGATCGCGATGGATTGACGATCGTGATCGACAAGTGTGATCGACGATCGCGACAAGTGTGATCGACGATCGCAACCTCGATCTAGAAAGCCGATCGCGAGATGTAACTGGTTACAGATCGATCGTAACCTCGATCGACGGATCAAGATCGCGATGGATTGACGATCGTGATCGACAAGTGTGATCGACGATCGCGACAAGTGTGATCGACGATCGCAACCTCGATCTAGAAAGCCGATCGCGAGATGTAACTGGTTACAGATCGATCGTAACCTCGATCGACGGATCAAGATCGCGATGGATTGACGATCGTGATCGACAAGTGTGATCGACGATCGCAACCTCGATCTAGAAAGCCGATCGCGAGATGTAACTGGTTACAGATCGATCGTAACCTCGATCGACGGATCAAGATCGCGATGGATTGACGATCGTGATCGACAAGTGTGATCGACGATCGCGACAAGTGTGATCGACGATCGCAACCTCGATCTAGAAAGCCGATCGCGAGATGTAACTGGTTACAGATCGATCGTAACCTCGATCGACGGATCAAGATCGCGATGGATTGACGATCGTGATCGACAAGTGTGATCGACGATCGCGACAAGTGTGATCGACGATCGCAACCTCGATCTAGAAAGCCGATCGCGAGATGTAACTGGTTACAGATCGATCGTAACCTCGATCGACGGATCAAGATCGCGATGGATTGACGATCGTGATCGACAAGTGTGATCGACGATCGCGACAAGTGTGATCGACGATCGCAACCTCGATCTAGAAAGCCGATCGCGAGATGTAACTGGTTACAGATCGATCGTAACCTCGATCGACGGATCAAGATCGCGATGGATTGACGATCGTGATCGACAAGTGTGATCGACGATCGCGACAAGTGTGATCGACGATCGCAACCTCGATCTAGAAAGCCGATCGCGAGATGTAACTGGTTACAGATCGATCGTAACCTCGATCGACGGATCAAGATCGCGATGGATTGACGATCGTGATCGACAAGTGTGATCGACGATCGCGACAAGTGTGATCGACGATCGCAACCTCGATCTAGAAAGCCGATCGCGAGATGTAACTGGTTACAGATCGATCGTAACCTCGATCGACGGATCAAGATCGCGATGGATTGACGATCGTGATCGACAAGTGTGATCGACGATCGCAACCTCGATCTAGAAAGCCGATCGCGAGATGTAACTGGTTACAGATCGATCGTAACCTCGATCGACGGATCAAGATCGCGATGGATTGACGATCGTGATCGACAAGTGTGATCGACGATCGCGACAAGTGTGATCGACGATCGCAACCTCGATCTAGAAAGCCGATCGCGAGATGTAACTGGTTACAGATCGATCGTAACCTCGATCGACGGATCAAGATCGCGATGGATTGACGATCGTGATCGACAAGTGTGATCGACGATCGCGACAAGTGTGATCGACGATCGCAACCTCGATCTAGAAAGCCGATCGCGAGATGTAACTGGTTACAGATCGATCGTAACCTCGATCGACGGATCAAGATCGCGATGGATTGACGATCGTGATCGACAAGTGTGATCGACGATCGCGACAAGTGTGATCGACGATCGCAACCTCGATCTAGAAAGCCGATCGCGAGATGTAACTGGTTACAGATCGATCGTAACCTCGATCGACGGATCAAGATCGCGATGGATTGACGATCGTGATCGACAAGTGTGATCGACGATCGCGACAAGTGTGATCGACGATCGCAACCTCGATCTAGAAAGCCGATCGCGAGATGTAACTGGTTACAGATCGATCGTAACCTCGATCGACGGATCAAGATCGCGATGGATTGACGATCGTGATCGACAAGTGTGATCGACGATCGCGACAAGTGTGATCGACGATCGCGACAAGTGTGATCGACGATCGCAACCTCGATCTAGAAAGCCGATCGCGAGATGTAACTGGTTACAGATCGATCGTAACCTCGATCGACGGATCAAGATCGCGATGGATTGACGATCGTGATCGACAAGTGTGATCGACGATGCGACAAGTGTGATCGACGATCGCGACAAGTGTGATCGACGATCGCAACCTCGATCTAGAAAGCCGATCGCGAGATGTAACTGGTTACAGATCGATCGTAACCTCGATCGACGGATCAAGATCGCGATGGTACGACGATCGTGATCGACAAGTGTGATCGACGATCGTAACCTCGATCTAGAAAGCCG